GCTGAGAATTCGAATTTACTATTTCAGCTGACAGCTCCATAGTTCCGGCATTCTGCCTACACTATTGGAGCTTATTATTATTGTTGCTCTCACTTCCCCCCCCCCGCCCTCAGTGTCCCTCGTTTATAAGCGGCAGGCTCGGCCCAGTTGGAGACCGGTGATTAGGCAGTCCCCTCGGAGCGCCGGACGTGCAGCTGTACAGCGATTACCGCACGGCAAATAAGTGCCTATAGAGTATCGTCGCGCGCTAGGAATGTCGCCTGGCCAGCCCCGCTGGCCAGGGTGTGGTTCGTGCGTCGCTGACGCTTCAGGTTTGCCCTCGGGGCGGGTGACCAGTGGACGCAGTCATTAATGCTGCGTTTAGTTGTCTAGTGCTGTGCGTCAGTTCTTTCGGCCGTGCCGGTGTGGCCGCGCTGGACAGCGCTGCGCGCGCTCAGACCGCGCCGTGTGGCGCTAGACCGCGCTTCGGCGCACACGCGCCCTGGCGCTCCGAGAGCAGCAATTAGTACTCTGCAGTAGTGTAAGGCCCTTGGCAGCCCCGGTTTCGCCTCGCCCTGTCCTATCCGACACCCCGAACGCAACCGTACAGCAAGCCATGAAGGCTATAGGACATAACTTCACATATGCATGGGCCTCACATTACGTAACGGCCACAGCCAAACACTACAGGAACTTATCAGCGCAAGCCAGCCATCCCAATTAATCTGCAAAATATTCGAATGCTGCGCGTTGCGCTAATCACGTCCATGACAAACCCTCACACAACGCCGCAGCAGGTGCACTTAGCCCCCCTCCATGTACATTTCGAAACCTTGCAAAGGCCCGCTAGGTACCCGCTTTGAAACGCGCCTCGCGCCCAACCAGCTGCCAGTCAGTCAGTCAGTTGTGGGGCGCCTTCGTTTCGAGTTGTGGAGTCCAAACTTGCCATGGACGTAGTGTCGAAAAAGGCGTTGATGCTCCAAGGCTCCAACCGCTGGAAGGAATCTTATAACAGGATACGGCTGGGGGAGAATGCACAAGCAGTGCAAGGCCCGCAGGGAGCCTCCTCGACAGTAGGCATCCCCATCGCCATCGCCATCACCGCGTATGATGGGTTAGGAGGTGCCAGACTATGCGGGACAGCAATCCAGGGAGCTGTGTGCCGTGTGTTGTGCTGATACCGGGAGTGGCTCTATATGTACGGCACTACCCAGGCTACGTTGGTGCAAGGGTGGGCTGTGCAGTGGGGGGCATACTGTGATCTGGTGAAATGAAAACTGAAGCGCCGCAAAGCAAGGCGCCGAATTGCGATAATGACCCGCCCGTACCCGGTAGTCAGGCGGGCGGTCAGTAGTCGTTGAACGGAGTCAGAGCAGGGGCCCTGTGCAGCAAACTTGTCATTCGTACTGTCGGTTTCAATAGGCTCTATCTGTTTTTACAAATCTGTTACAAATTCCATCAGAGCAAGTTCTGCCCAATATTAATGACTAATAAGGAGCTGTCATGGATGAGTTTCATTCACCATGCATGTCCATCTTCGTGAAAGCGGCCATAACCAGACAAGGATGGGGTTGTGGAACTGAAGCTGCCACCGCGGGACAGCAATAGCAACCACAACCATCCGAACTGCCACGAGCTGCCGTACATGAAGCTCGCTCACACATTGATTTTTTTCCGCACGTGGTTGACTGTGAGGTGCTGTTCGAGCAAGAAGGGGGGGGGCCTTGAAACCACCTCCCATTAGCAAGAAGCTCGACCCGCATACAGACGAACATACATACATACACACATGCGTACACCAACCGAGGCTTTTTTCTGGTCGACCATGAGCCAATACTTCCACCAATCTGCCGGTCCGTGTGCATCCTGGTACGGCAATTCAGCAGTAGCAGTACTACTGGCAGCAGTAGTAGCAGCAACAGCATGGTGATTATGCACGCAACACGTCCAGCTGCATGGCTAGCCAGCCAGCCAGCCAGCCAACCGTGTAATAAACACCAAATCCGGAGCATGCCAGGGGCTGTATGTATGTCTCTCGCCTCGGCGGCTTACGACCACTATACAACGTACCGCACATATGTGTATGTGTGCGTGTCTTTTTGTGTGCATGTGTGTTACACCTTTGGTATGCAAGTATGCAAACATACGTCCATGTCGATCTGTCTACCGAAGATAAACAGCATCGACACCACCGCGGCGGCTCTCCGTCTGTCACACCGAACTCGGGGAGAGAGATTGTTAAATTGCTATTACGGGCTCACTCAGTACATGCCGTACATTCGCAGAGCGTGCCCTCCTCACAGCCAGCTAGCGCCTTTTCGTTTCAGCGCATTGCCTACCTGCCTCCCTACCTGCCTCCCTACCTGCCTACCCTGCCAGACCACATTAACAACGAGCCACACCAGCAGGTTAACTTTTGTGGACAGCTGTCTATGGGTACCGGCAGAAGGCAGGGTTAGGATTGCCGTACATACTTGCCGTACGCGTATCAAAGTCGGCCGTACGCAAATAGTCCCACCGTACATGTACAATTGCCCGCACAGAATCAGACATGCCATGAGTGCTTCATATTTTACGCGGGTAGCTCCAACTCCATGAGCCCCATGGCCCATCAGGCTCAACGCATCCACCGCGCGCCACACCCGCTGAGGAGCCCAGCCATGATCACCCCGCCTTCATTCAGACACCAGCAGTCAGCAGCCAGGTACGCATCTCCAAGTTTCTACATTTTTAACCCTCATTATCTCCACGTGAGCTTCAATCTACCGGCACCTGCGGAGCCCTGCACCCACTCCACGTTTGGGCCAGGAGCCGGTACATGCATGAGCTTTCCATAGCCGCGCAAGCCGGGCGCGCTCGTGTGGCGCAGAACTTATACGGATCGTAGCGTGGAGAGATCTTGGTACTGGTTCCGGAGCGAGCTAGTATGTCCGCTATCAGCATGTATATTTCACACGTGGAAAATGTTCTAGACGTAGTGGTGGGCAACAAATGACACGAATGACACAATGTTTTCATACACGCGGCACCGACCACCAAATCCACGAGCTGTCATCGATTGTAAAAATATCCATGTAGAAGTAAAGACTAATTCTGGCTGCCTATTCGCCTGCTTGGCCGCTTGCAGCTTACTGAAACGTAGTAATGCAAGAACGGTACGCGCAATTGGGTGACTCAGCACCCTTCATTTTTCCGTCCTGCGCTGTGCTCAGCTATACATATACAGATAAAAAGAGAGACCAGAAGCACAAAAAAGATTTGAAATCGTAAACGTAAATGATTGGTAGAGAGAATGTTATACTTGCTCCACCCACACTCGCTTTGCCGGTAGAAGACACTATCTGCTGATTTTTTAAGGTGGTGAAAAGAAGCATGCCGACAAAGGAGCCCCATACCGGGCGTGGATCCGCAAAAGTCCCTACCATAGCAGGCTGAGAGATCTGGCTAAACCCGACGGTAACGGGATTCATGGCCCCACTTGTGCAGAAGCTACAAGGAACTACTATATCGAAACATCCATACGCTATTAAAACAAAGGAGTGAGCAACTATCCTACCAGGATAAAGGCCCCATCGAACCACCTTCAGGCGCGCAAGCTTACCTACGACGGCCGCTACCCGCTGTCAGACGTGGAATCGCCCGTCAACAACATGTGAAGCCCCAAGACGCGGCTATTCATGACCGATGGCTCTGACATCACAACAAATAAATCACCATCTGCGGCAGCAGCGGCCAACGCAGTCACGACACGCCCTGCCTTCAAATGCCAACCTTGCCAACCTTGCATACGCAAATTCCACTGCACCGCACATCAGCCAGGCCCTGCGCATTATGGAGCGGGGTTGGAATGTTGAACTCTAGTCGCTCTGAACTCTCCAGGCGGCGGCAACTAACGGAACGCAGCGCGCGCAAATCGTACTCCTAGCTGCTCCTAGCCCGTTGCATAATAACTGCAAAATGAGATCGTGCTTGATTGCTTGCTCCAGACTCATGGAAATATAACCCCAGTGATCCACACATGCCCGGCACTGCGCACGAGCATGAAGCGCTAGCTATTGATCGCTGCAAACCCACGACTGCTGAATGACGCCGAAATTGCATTATTGGTGCGCGCTACGTTGTCCCCCCCCCGCCGCCATTCACACCATCCAAACCATACATGTGCACTGTGCACTACTTTGCCGCCGCTCAGAAACGTCGAATGCCCACAGATGCAAATCACCTGCAATTATCGGCATCCGCGAATACATCTAATGACACTAAAGGGCGTTGCGACCGCACGAATAAACAATGTACGGCGCTCCATTCCTGCACACATATTGCACCACTTTGCTGTGTATGTTCATCTGCATCGCCATAGCTGCCGTCATCCTAAACGACCCCACAACATGACCCGCAACAACAAAATAATTCAACATAACGAGCAACAAACAACAGAACGTACGATTTGCTGTACAAACAAACACGAACAGCAGGAAGACCAACTGACATCACGACCTAGAAGTTTGACCAATCTATATTCACGCGAGCAGCGGCGGCACATACATCATCCTGGCCCCCTGCCAACACGCACACGCGCGTCCATCACGTGCGCTGTGGCACCCAAAAACAGGCAGCAGCTGTAGCACTGGGCTGCTGCACTGGGAAGAGCATATCTCCGCACACGGCATGGGCCCCTAAACGACATCTTAAGAAGGTAACCCCTATGGTGAGGCGCGTGTAAGCACGGCGTTCGTTCTACCACGTCACGAAACCACAACCTTACGTCGGGTGTGGGCCCCCTGCCTGCCGAATGTGGGGCCCGGGCTACCTCATAGGTAGGATTGCAAATCACGCATTTGTTGGCCCAAACTTGCACCCGTGCCAGTGGCAACACGCCAATCGACATGATCAGCATAATCAAGCTAGATAGACTTTCAGGCAAGCCATTCTCATTGAGAACAGGCAAGCCCGATCTCATAAGTCGCTGAAGACGCTCTCGATGAAGGATTCAGAGGGTGTAGAACATGTCATCAGCGGCATTGAGCCCATCCGCCGGGTCACATGAAGGTTGGAACCCGGGGCCACGACGACGTGGTCCAGGCCTGCAGTCCCCTCCGCGCCGGCGCCTGGCACGGAGGTCTGGAAGCGCAGCCCAGCCAGCCAGTCCATGTCAACCGAGTCGATCTGTGTGTCGCCAAAGGCATTGGGCCCGGAAAAAGGAACTTGCTGGCCACCGCTGCTTGCTGCGGGAGCAGCTCCTGTTGCATTAGCAGGCGGCGGAGGCGGTGGAGGGGGCATGGGGGAAGCTCCACCTACAGCTCCTGGGTTGCTGCCGCTGCCACTAGCAGCCGCGGCGGCGGTGGCAGCAGGTGCGACACCTACCCCGCCACCCGACCCGGTGGCATGTGCAGCCCTCACACAGCTGCCAGAGTCAGTCATGGCTGGCGGAGCTGCGGGGCAGCCGGAGGGCGGAGCCGTACTGGCAGCGGCAGCCAGATTTGCCTTGGCAGGCGGTGAAGCCACCGTGGCTGTGGCGCGTCCCGTACTGGCAGCCGACTTCAGCACGGTTATGGCAGCACCACCTTCATTGCCCCCATGCCGCATATGCTGCTGCAGGGTCCGCTGCGGAGACGCCTTGGTGCCGCCGCCCTGCATAGTCACTGCCACCGTCGCATCAGCGTCGTCCGAACTATTGCAGCCTGTAGCTCGGGCGGTGTCCTGATTGCAGGCTTCGGCTTCCTCACTGCCACCAGCAGTGGCTTTCACTGCGGCAATGGCCACCTTGCAGTCTTTTGCCGCACGTGCGTTGCCCTGCAGGTGGCCCTCTTGGCCCCCTGCCAGGTTCAGAAGTGTACGCACCAGCGCCGTGGGTAGGGAAATGGTTTCGGAGTTGCACTGGCGGATTGCGGCGGTGACTGAGCTTACAAGATGCGCAGTGCACTGTTGCACTGCAGCCAGGCTGTCCAGCTGGCCGCTGCTGGCCGGGTGCTGCGGCTGCAGGGCAACCGTGCCAGCCTTGGCAGTGCTCTGGGAGGTCAGCAAGGTGCTCTCCTTTCGGGTTGTGGGCTGCCCAGCCACACCTGGGGCTTGGCTGATACCGCCGACCGGGGGGGATGGCTGCATGCCGGGTGAGTCCGACACCTGGCGCTGCGGGGACGACTGCGGGGAGGGCCGCGTCTCCGGGGATGCAGGCGGCGGAGAGCCAGTAGAGCGGCAGTACACTGCAGCGGCCGTCAGGGCCCCCGCAACAGCTGAGTGCCCAACCGGACCCCCAGCCGTGCCCTCACAGCGCAGGCCCTCCAAGCTCAGCCGGGGCCGCTTGCTGGTGCTGCCGTCAGATCCACCACTAGCTGCAATCGTCACAATAGCCGCAGCCATAGCCACAGGCGTAGTGTGAGCAGCGGATGGCAGCAGAGCGAATTCCGGAGCAGTGCGTTGTCCTGGCGGCTCAGAGATGGGCGCAGAGCATGAACGCTCCGCAAGGCGCTTCCGTGTCGGGGTGCCAGTGGCGCCAGTCAATGCCAAAACAGCAAGATCTTCATTCTTGAAGGCACTGAACATAGGGCCTGTGAGGGGGTATGAGGTGCAGCCGGCCATCTCCGGGGCCGACATCACCGGTGGTGGGGAGTTGCTGCTGGGCAATTGAATGGTGGCCGTCTCACCCTGTGTAGCCGTGGCCAGCTCAAACCGACCAGAGCTGACACCACCCTGAACTCCCTGAACCATAGCCACCGGTAGAGGGCCATTTGACCCTGCTGCAGCCTTGTCCGCCGGCTTGGGGACAACACGTGGTGCTGGGCCCAGCAGAGGCCCATGCAAAGCAGATGGCTGCTGCTGCAAGGCCACCCATGCCGTCTCGTTCAACTGGGCTGTTGCACCAGGTCTTGCGGTATGGTCAAAAGCTCCAGGGATTGCGTCCACCGTGGCCATCTCCACACGCCTGTTCAAGTAGCCCACGGCCATGGCCGCAGGACGTCCGTTGCAGGGAGCACGAATTTCAGGCCCCGGCTCCTGCTCCCTCTGCTCGCACTTCATGTCTCTCAACTCCTTTTTTTCCTCCTGCACTGTCTCCTCTTTCACCGAAGTCGCACCGGTGACCGGCAGGATGCTCAGGGAATGCGAGGTCATGCATGAAGACCACGACTGCTGGGATGCACCATAGGGTGGCGGCACTCGTATGGAGGTGCTGTCCACCGGGGGCGGCTTGTGGGGTTCAGCGGGCTTAGGTGGTTGGAGTGGTTGGCAATGCACCGCCTGGTTGCAAAACTGTTCTTGCAGCTTCTGTTGCTGCTGCAGCTTCTGTTGTTGCTGCAGCTGTTGCTGCAGATGCTGTTGATGTTGCAGTTGTTGTTGCTGCAGTTGTTGTTGCTGCAGTTGTTGTTGCTGTATCTGCTGCTGCTGGAACTGCTGCTGCTGGAACTGCTGCTGCGGCAGGTGTTGCTGCTGCATCTGCTGCTGCTGCAACTGCTGTTGCTGCATCTGCTGCTGCTGTAGCTGTTGCTGCTGCATCTGCTGCTGCGGCAGGTGTTGCTGCTGCATCTGCTGCTGCTGCAACTGCTGTTGCTGCATCTGCTGCTGCTGTAGCTGTTGCTGCTGCATCTGCTGCTGCTGCTGCTGGATCTGCTGCTGCTGCAACTGCTGCTGCTGCAATTGCTGCTGCTGCTGCTGCAACTGCTGCTGGTGCTGCAGGTGTTGCGGCTGCATCTGCTGCTGTTGCATGTGCTGCTGCATCTGCTGCTGCTGTAGCTGTTGCTGTGGCGGCGGCTGGTGCATGTGTTGCTGAAGCAGCTGCTGTTGGGTTAACTGCTGTTGTTGCGGCATTTGTTGCTGTTGTTGTTGTTGCTGCTGCTGCTGCAAATACATATGCTGCTGCAACAGCTGCTGTGATTGCCGCGGTTGTGGCAGCTGCAAGTGCTGTGGATGTGAACCCTGCAGCGGAGCCTGCACCTGGGCAGCCGGCTGCAGGTGTGAGGGCTGCAGCTGCTGCTGAGAGTGCATAACCTGCCGCGGATGAAGTATCTGAGTCTGTAGCTGCTGCTGCTGCTGTTGTTGTTGCTGCTGCTGTTGTTGTTGTTGCTGCTGCTGCTGCTGCTGCTGCTGTTGTTGTTGTTGCTGCTGCTGCAATGGATGCTGTGGTACTGCCTGCGGTGGCGATGTTTGCTGCTGTGATAGCTTCATGCCCCTCTGTGGCAGGGTTGTAGGCACCTGCGGTGGTGGCATCATCATCTGCTGCTGTCTCTGCGTCTGTGGTTGGAGCTGTTGCTGTGGTTGTGGTAGTACCCGCTGTTGCGCCAGTGAGTGCTGCTGTGACAGAACCTGCTGCCTCAGCGGCATCTGCTGCTGTTGCGGCTGCTGGGGTAGTATCCGTTGCTGCTGCAGCCAATGCTGTTGCGAGGTTGACGGCTGCTGTGAGGGCGTTTGCTGCAGTAGTGGTAGTGCCTGCTGGTGCTGGTGGTGGTGCTGCGGTAGCGGGACCTGTGAAGGCTGCTGTAGCATCCGTAGCTGCTGTTGAGAATGTTGTTGCGACAGCATTTGCTGCTGTAACAATGATTGTTGATGTTGCTGCTGTTGTGGTGTTAGATGTGCCAGCTGCTGGGGCGGCAGCTGCAGCACCTGCTGTGGTGATGGTGGCGGCAGCTGCTGCTGCGGGGCCCGCAGCGGTGGCTGCTGCTGCTGCTCCTGATGCTGATGCGATGACAGCTGGGGCGGTAGCGGCTGCTGCTGCTGGGCCGGTAATGGCTGCTGCAGCTGTTGCTGCGGTAGAATTAGCTGCTGTTGTGACGCCCGTGGTGGCAATGGATGCTCTAGAGGCGGCGGCATTTGCTCAGGCTCTGGACGGGCTTGTGGTTGAGTCAGCAGTTGCTGTTGCTGTTGCTGTTGCGGCTGCTGTTGCGGCTGCTGCTGCTGCTGCTGTGGCGGCTGCCGCTGCTGCTGCTGCTGCTGTGGCTGCTGCTGCAGTGGAGGCTGAGAAACTTGCGGTGGTGGCACTTGTCGCTGCTGCTGCTGCTGCGGCTGTGGCTGCTGGCCAGGGGGATTCTTGCCACCCCCTGAGCGCAGGAGGGCCACCATTGATGACCGGACAGCGGCACTTGGAATGGCAGCAGTCCTCAGTATGGCCGGTGTGGTAACAGCTTGAGTGGACCCGGCTCTGCAACCGGAGGTGGAGACCGCCTGCCGCTGTTTCCCGTTGTCGGCTTTTGAGGTACTTGGGATGGCCGCGAGTGCATCAGTGCCTGCGGGGTTGGTGGGCTGGTCCGTAGCTCCTCCAGGGGAGGTGGTGGGGAGATCATCCTGAAACACCGTCCTGTAGGCGTCTGCTGGCTTCATGCCCTTCTGGATGCACATAACGTACCCCAGCAGGCGGGCAGTGCTGCAGGCGGCACTCTTCTGCGAAGCATGAAACATCAAAGTGGGAGGAGAAAAGCCACGTCTGCCTAATTTTGCTGGCATGGTAGGTGGTAGGTTGTGCTACGCGGGTAAACGTTGCTTCTCAAATATGATGAGGTTGCGCAGACGTTAGGAATGAGATTCCCCGTGCGGCATGCGCCGGTTGATCGATGGGATGACTGGAACACTCTCATTCATAGCGGCGTTACGCATTATTACTACGCAAGAGGGGCCGGCCGGGTTGTCTCAAGCGTGGTAACCTTAACAGAATGAAATAAATGTGAGAGGAAATTCCATAATAAATATTCCCTTCAATATTTCAAGTCCTCCGCTATTTTGAGGGCTTGAATCTGCTTGAACCTGCTTTAATCTGGTCGAACATTCGCCATTTCATGCGGATTGTAGCCTACTTAGGTAAAGTGCATGTGTTGACTTTTGACGTATTGCCTATCTACGTGCCTATCTACGTGCCGGGAACACCGTTAAGCCGGTCTTCCAATTTTTTGCAACCTTATTTTCGACCGACGAAATCGCACGAGCCAGCCACTTTTTTAATCACAATTTTGGAAGGGGAAACCTTGTAGGGTCACAACACCCCTATCATGGAAAATAGCCATCAGTGGTCTCTTCGAATGAGCAGCAGCCGGCCGTCCCGTGACGACATGAGCATGACAGGGTAGCAAACGAGGTCTTTTGGAGCGTTAAACAGCCATTCAGTTGCGTTCATACTCGGGAGCAGCGAGAACCGCAACGGCGTCAGTAAAATGTTTGATCAACTATAGGCGACACCCTGGGTAGGGACCATAGCAACTAATCCGAAGCATTTTAATGACTAATACCAAGCCAGGGCTCGTCCCTACCTACTACAACACGAGGATGCGGCCTAAAGGCGATAAACCATTTTACTGACGGGCAACGGTAATCTGTGACAATGGTAGACAATATTAGTTATGACACGTCAACTGGACCAGTTCTGATGCTGTGCTGTCGTACGGACAGCTACCATGCTCTTACTAGGGTGTAAGCATTCCTCCGGAAAACTTTGAACATCACTGTCCCACCCATTGGGTGGTGAAGATCGTGACATCTGAAGCTTCCTGTCCATGCGCTTCCATTCCTACTGCTGCAATCCTGCCGTAATGCGACAGGTAAGCGCTGTAACAGTCCCCCATCACCACTTGGATTTTGGCGCGCTGAAGTGAACTAATGCCTTTAGTTCAGCACTAAAGGTTTTGTACAGATGAGATGGGATTAAGTCAACCAGCGTCTTTGGCAGGCGTTATGTTCCTGAAGCCCTGAAAGCCGCCAGCAGCTCGAGCTCGTGTGTCTGTAAAACTTTTATGGTCTACAGATCGTGCCCTGGAATATTAGGTAGGAAGCACCCCTATCTATTACACCAGGGGAGGATCTATAGACGGCGACAATATTCTACAGATGTGTGGGCATGCTTGCTGGTACGGAGGGGGTGCAACTCCGACAACATAATTGGCACCCAGCGGATGTAACACCAGAATATAACAGGTGGCAACATTGACCATTATTAACAGGTATATCTGACGATGTTAGGCCCCTTGAAAAAGTGCATGCCGTACGTACGTACGTACCTTTTTGGTCGCCCGTACGACGGTTGACCACCTGTTCTTGACCTGCAATGTTGTGCAATGACAGTCGAATATGGGTTTTGGCTTTCAGCAGCAGTATCGCAGCATCGGAGAACAGTGAAGAGCAAGTCAGAAAGAAGGCCGCACGGCTGTTACCCCTTTGCAGGTTCATGCATATGTGTGTGTTACATGGTTGGGGGTGCGGGACCCCATACCTCATGCATATGCCATGGCCAGCAGCACATCAAAGTGTGTGGCACTGCCATGACATCCTGCACGGCCTGCTCGGAACACAACTGGGATAAGCCCCAAAGAGCCGCATGCAGCAGGTCGCCAGCAAGAGCACCAATCGAGATTTGGACTTCAGGTCGTGTCGTACACGTGAAACCCTTGATCCGCAACCTAAGAGTCGTGGTCACAAGGCACTGCCTCGGGGCCTAATGTAGCCCTTTGTAGCAGAAGTTCTAGTCGCTAGTTCCTGTAGGTGGTACGGCATACCGTACGGCATAACGTCTACAAACACCTGCTAAGGCGCTCTACCAGCATCTCGAGAGGCCTTTGCAGCTGCCCGTCGCCACGTAAGCTTCGACATGTTAAGGCTCATTACCTATGCGTGTACCTAGAAACGTGTATCTAGGCGCACAATTCATTCGATTTCAAAAGTGAGGTTGAAACGCATGAAACAGCAAGGCGATGTTTCCTGCATATCACTGTGCATGTGGGTCAGGGAAGAGCCTAATTTCAATAACGCCAATCAGAAAACCCTGAGTGCGTAATTGAGTCTGCATTGCTGACCTTTAATTACCTAGGCTGCCAGTGGCAAGGTGTAATTTGTACCGGAGCTCAGACCATCTCTCGAGCACCTAGCCATCCGTTTCCTGAACATGAGCTGCTCACCTGGTTCTCGGTTCGCCGGCCCAGGTTACGGGCGATTCGAGTCCACGCCGTCCCCCAGGTGGCATGGCCTCGGGCGATGATGCGATCCTCGTCTTCCGTCCACTGACCCCGGACGGCGTTGGGACGGCTGCGGGCAGCATCGAATACAGCAGGCGTGAGGTCGTGTGACAGGACAACCAAAGCATGGCAATGATAAGAGCCAGAGTCGTCCAGGAAGTGGACTTGCCTCGCCGTATCCCGGGATCCGCATCCGCCAACTGGTACTTTTCTGAAGTCGTGATATAACAACAGCCAGGCGGTGCTGCTGCAACTATGCAGGAAGAGCAAAACTCAATCGATTGCCGACGACACTGCTCGTGATGGCTATAAGCCCCGCACCGAAGGCTTAACATATACTACTGCCATACCGCGAAAACGCGAATAACATCAGACCTGCAAATGTTGTGCCAGCGTTCCCTGCATTGCTTCCCACTACGGCCTGGCACAGACCTGCGGGGAAAGGGCAGGATTATTGAGCCCAACCCGTAAGGAGGATGAACAATAAACATCAAGGTTTTAGGGTTTTAACCACAAGGAGCATTGGTGTACGTAAAACGTTGCAGCACGGATATGCCCGATGCGCATGTTTTACTGAGCGCCTGCAAGAGGATAATCATGGGATCATTGAAGTAATACTGCTCGTACTGCTTGTGCTGCATTGATTGCCTGCTTCCACAGGCCGTTGTTTCTCCGACACTCGAGTCTGTCGACTCCCAAACGCCTTTCCTTACAACTTTCTGTAGCCGAGCTCGCAGGTCTATTGGTTATAGGATGTTCAAAAACTTGTGATTTGTGTTCCCTTCGGATATCCACATTATGCGGCATTATATGACAGCCACGCATTTGGTGTCAAGCAACGTATCCATGCAGCAATGAAGACCGTAGGCGCCATAATAGCATGTGAAGTAAGGCTCATGCATAACCCCCGGGGATCCCATTCCCCCCAAACTTCTTGGGTGCTTCGCAACACGAGATTGTATTAGAGATTGGTCATCTACGCGACCCCCTAGGACACCGTGTAGCTGGCTCAGGCTAACATATCCCCTCAGATGCAGAACTGGCTTGCAAAAGGGCAAGTCGGTCCAGCAACACCAGCCTCAATGCATGCATGAATGCGAATGTATTCATCCTCAAGCTGAATGCACTGAAGAGAGCGGTTCATCCCAACCAGGCTCCCAGGCCTGTTTGAACTTACTCGGCCACAACCGTCCAGTTAATTCGCATCTCGTTTCCATCGCTGGCCTCTCCGAGACCGCCGCCAGCAGCAGCCGCCAGGGCCTTCTGGTGCGCCTCCACAGCCGCAATCAGCTTCTCATGCTGACATTTTGTCCAGGGCTTGCGCCGTGAGTTTGAGCGGCTCCCGCTGCCGCCGGCGTTGCTGCGCGCCCTAGGGGAGCGTTCTGTTTGAGCCGAATCGTCGTCTGCATCACTATCTTCTTCACTTTCGTCGTCCGAGTCAGCAGTTGTAGTCGCCCAATCTTCATCACTCTCTCGTCGTTTGCGATTTAGGTTGCTTTCCGCACTGGATTGGCCATCTTCTCCCAAGTTGAGAGGCCAACCTTGGGCTCGCGTGCTCCTCGCAGGATCTGTGTCGTGGCGGACGCAACACATTGGGTTCAGCCATAATTGTCTTGTGGGAAAAGAAGTCGATGGACTCAAATGAATAGGCTTTTGTGCCTCCCGCGCTGCGCGTCCCTGGCAGACTAAAGACGACTGTGGGAGTGTCGCCCGGGATGGTGCTTTTCCACGATAACATATTGCGCAAAGGACGGGCATGACTGACCGGGTTCCAAATGTTTCATGTGCATAAGGACGAAATAGGAGTCGCGAGCCGAAAAAGCTTCACCTTCGCAGGAATCGGCTTGCAAGCGCCGTGTATGGTATGAAGGAGACTTACCATTTGTAAGCGCCACCGTTTTGGTCATTGGCTGCGCTCCAAGCCTTTCGAGCGTCTCAATGGTACCGGTGCAGCCGTCGGCCAGCTCGTTTGAGCTAGCTAGTGGCATGTAAGTGCAGGGAGCAGCAGACACACAAATCAGTCGCAGAACTTTAGAGATAAAAGTATTCAGGGTTGGAAACGAACGCCTTACAAGGTGCGCGACTTATTATCGCGGTGCCTGTAAAAGTCCTCCTGTGCCCAAAACTGCTGCGGGGTCCACACTAAGCGGATTCTCGACTAAGTTGACAAAAATTTAATTTCATTCACGTTGACCTCATCCTTATCTAGATCCGAATTGCGCCGCATATAAGCCCGATGCCACAGGGTAGAAGATTGTCGGTTACTCTCCAGGCCCGCCAAGCCCAGTCTCTAAGTAAAGCGCGTGGATAAAATAAATCTTTGGAGTCTCCAGCTTCTAACTTACATACTCTATGTTCACCTCCTCTACTGCCATGGACGAGTCTCCCAAATCGTAGCTTTTAGCCTATCCAAAAAGCTAAAATTACTACAAATATTAATCCTACATGATAACTATAATATTTTATCTATGGATCGTTTTGTAGCTCCTGGAATATGAAACTGAATGGGCGGACCTGTACGTGTCGCAGTCAGCGACTTAAAAAGACACAAGCCGCAACTCCCCAAATATAATTGAAACAAAATAGATGCTATAATTAAATCCATAATAGGTAATAAACAAGAACTCAATGAAGAAGACATTAAGTTCCGCCGAGTCCGAGGGTTGCCTTATGGAAAGGTGGCGATACATATTCCTTGAGGTATCTCACAGAATTTCAAGTGTGTCATAATTATTTCGCCTTGAATTATATTATGCTCAATTTATTTTGCTGGCGTCGTTAATAGGACTTCCGCGACATCTTTACTCATAGGCCTTGCTTGTCCTAAAGCCCGTGGCAAACGTAGCTCAAAAGTTTATTTTACCTGTTTTCGCCTATTCATAGCTGCTACTGTGGAGGGTATCTGCTCGTGCTTCCATGTACTGGTATATGCGTGAGGCCGTGGCCCGTATTAGGTTCCTGCTGCTTCCCGGCTCTATCTTATGGATAAATGATATTATTGTTCCATCAAGCTGGCGATATAGGTTGTTAACCTAAGCCAAGCTGAATGAAAACACCAGTGGGCTTTAGCTGGTCTATACCTAAGCGGACATAGCTGGGGATATGCACCTGGTGCACGACACACTCCTGGAAATGTTATGGTGATGCCCAAGCAAGCAACCACCTCTGCGCACAAGCAGTGGGCTCAACATGATGCGCGGGGCTAAAGTAATCGAAACCGCACAAAGTGCGCAAAGTGATATTGACAGGCTTATACTCAGCGCCTATGCATGGAGTCAGAACAGCACAGCGATGCATGACGATGCTTTAGTAGGGGATCGGTTGTTGCCCCACCTTTACTCTGGGAAGCTGAGGCTTGCGTGCATGCATGCGGCCACAACGTGCGACCGCGCACAAAGTAGGCTTTATTAGGCGGCGCTTCAAAGCATGCAAGTGTGTAGGATATCCCTTAGGGTTTTAGGATATCACTCTGACTTTGGCGCCCGAGCGCTTTTTCGGGTTTACTTTGCCGTCTGCAGGATGGTGTAGTAGCTGGTCGCCGAAAAGGCCTCTGAAGATGCCGGAGGAGCGCCTTAGCGCGTATTTGTAGACGTCATGTGTGCCGTACTATGTACCAGCGACTACAGCTGACAAGTGCACAGAAAAAGCATGCGACATATGTATTGCACCCCTCAAGGCTGCTGATAGGAATAATGTTGATTTACCCACCAAGTGTGGCTGGATGAGGATGTATGTGCTGATGCACGTGAAGCCCATTTCAGGTCAGTCCTGCCTGGCTAGTAAATTAGTTGAGCAAGCAAGGGTGGTGGTTCGACAGGAAGAAGGCCCCCTGCCTCTTTCATCATGACCTCACACGCCGCTGCTCCCATGGACAGGATAGTGGAGGGTGACATACTGCACAAGCATGACGCATGCACCTGGCAACACTATCAGTCATGACATGTGGAAATTGCGTCGTGTACATTACTGACGTGGCAAAGAGACAGGTGCACGCTGCGGCTGGCAAGGTGCAAGGATGACATGATTACATTCATTGAGTGGTGCAGAAAGCTTTCATTTAAAACCAAGTTCGCAAAGCATAATAGTGCATAGTTCCACCTTCCACTACATATATTTGCTGTTGGGTTTGCACCCCGGCAGAATGTGTTACACTGAGGTCCCATCACTGAGGTCCCATCACTGAGGTCCCTTCACTGAGGTCCCAGTGCATTAGTAGTGCCATGTGCCATGTGCAGCTTCCGAGGTGGTTCAACTCCTCTCTCGGCGCAATTGGTTCAACCATCCACGTCAGGGAGCCACACGCCATTATGCCAGACTTCAACAAAGTCTGGAAATTTCCGCAGGTCGCCAATCAATGTCAATCGAGTCCCAACCTGCCAACAACTGCCGCCGAGATTTGAGAAATTATAATGTCGTGTGATCAGGCAGGGTTAGGCAACCTCCTGGCACGGATTCCAAAGGGATCCCAAAGGCGTGAAGAGATTTGCTGCAGTAATGGAGTATAAGATTTATATCCTGGTCACACGTGTCCATTGTGGGGGAGCAGCGGTATGTCAGAATGTGTACCATAGCAATGCACCATCAATCACTTGTGGCCCGGGGTCGCAATCACTCCTGGCTCGGGGTCCCGCCCATGGTGATGCACACGCATGTTTGGGACGTGTTGCGCTTGGTGGCCATTTTCGTGACGGAGGGGGAAGCACCCTGCCCTGTCACTCCCTTGCCCGGGGTATTGCAAAAGTCCTCCAGCGTGCATGCACCTGAACTCACCACCAAAATGCTGATGTTAATGTCTACATGCCTATTTAGGCTAACTACTTGTGCTTCACTGCAAGCATGCACATGAAACGCTGCCCGCTGGAGTACTAAGTGTTGTAGACTTCAGACGACACAACCACATAATGGGGGCATCGAAAGATACCGATTGAGACAAGTGTCTTGAATAAATAGTCATCAGTGACTCCACTTGGGCCTCCCGCCGATAAGGATTCCCAGTACGACTGGGCGGCGCCGTATCCAGAAGCCATAGATCGCAGGAACTACTCTCGCTCGGTCAGACGAAACTGGGACGCAGGTCCCAGCTTTACGTAAGTAAAACCCCCGCCCATACGCAGGTATGGACTTCCGCAACAGTGCGGCATTTGGATGGCGGACGACTAACAGTAGTCGCTTAGCCGCCGCAGTTAACAGTAGCCGCAATTAAACTAATATCAGTATTAGTTAATACCTGTAATCACCAACCGCGGAATTGACGGGTGTTAGTTAGTAATATTGGAGTTTGGTAAATCGGAGTGGACGAGCTAACCACCGACAGTTAGGTTTCGGCGCCCAAACCGTTGCAGAAAACCTTTACAGGATACAACACTAAGCAACACCTAGACCTTGGACTCCTTGATAACTTGCAAGGGTCTCGGTGGACTGT